AGAGTGAAATTCAAATATCAAAGCACTGGAAAAATCTACAACAGAAAGAAAAGCAAAATAACCAAAACCTTTCTAAGGCTTGTTTGGTGGGTTTAGAAAACAAAAACTGAAACAAACAAACAAAAACAACAAAACCAAAAAAGTTTATTTATTTAAGTCTTCCATTTTAAGACTAGTTGAAAAGTATAATTTCCTCCCCTAAAATCAAGACAACTTATAAACTCATTAAGACCCAAGCTCTAGAAATGGGTACCAGGGGAAACTGTTTGACTAACACATATTATTTTAAATTTACTAATTTGTGCACCTCAGTTTTTTCTGGACCTCACTAACTTCTCTTGGAGGATAAAATATCTTTCTTAATAAGTGAACTATGTTTTTGAGGTTCAGTAGCACTTTAAATTTTTAAGTAGTACCAACTTTAATAAAATGTGATGTGCTTTATTTTCAGTTTTTGTAAAGAAACATTGCTAAATAATCCTATTGAATGTCTCTTGTCTAAATAATCAATAACTCACTGCATTATAGATGAAATAACCTGAAATAATTAAGGTAAATGAAAATGTCTATAGATGCACAAATACAGCAGTTAAACATCAGACAAAATCAGATTTTAACCATCCTTTTTTAAAATCTCTTATCTGTGGGCCTAATAAACATACTTCTTGCTTTATGTTTGGATTAGTCCAATTGAGTACAACTCGGATTAATTTTCACATTATTTTTTGTTTTAATGTGGAAAAAGCCAAAGGCATATTTTGAGATTCACATTAAAATACAGGCAGACTCAGGTGCATAGAGCCGGTCGGCAGAATGTTTTATTGGAGATGAAAGATTGTTACTGAGGTTGTCTATCACTTCTAGTTTATGAAAAATAAATAAATAAATGGATGCTGGGAGGCATTAAAATTGCACATGACTCTCTTTTTGTTTCCCCAAAGGTGCTTTTGTGTAAAGTAAGATTCGATTTTAGAATACTCAGAGACTGTAGGTTTTTGTTAATATCCTACCTTGTCACTAAACTTTTGTGCCCTGTGTAGTCTCAGCCACAAATATGTCCCAGAGACTTAGATCCTGTGCTCAGAAAATGATGTGGGATATTGGGATCAATTAACTTCTCTAGGTATTAAAAGCAAGCAATTGAATGCCTGTAAGTAATAATTAACTTTAGAAATATTAGAAGTTCTGGGAAGACCCCTTTCCTTTCTGGAAGAATGCTCTAGAAGGGCAGTATCCTGAGGAATGTTGGTTTCTAGTTATATAAAGCTGCCTCATGATCTTTGCTGTACTTTGGATTGGTAATAAATATTATTTTTATCCTTGAAACTTTAGTTCTTCCTAGAGGGGTTTTTAGGAAGCTGTATGCTCTTTTCAGCTTCTATCAACACTCTTGCTTTAATTTTCTCATTTGTAAAATGGGTATGCAGATATTCTTGACTAGATAGTTTTGAGGACTAAATTGTTTTGTGAGGTAGTATGTTAGGTACTAAGTTTAATGGCTAGCTTATACAAGATCTGCTGTAACTGTTTATTTTCTGCTTCTCTTGCTTGAAAAGTTTTAGCTTAAACTCATTCTTTTATCATTTATTGTAAGCTTATTAAAAATGGGCAAAGATATCAATACTAATAGCTTTTCTGTGTTCTCATCAATGCATAATAATGACATCAAAACCAGCTGTCTTTGCTGTTGTCTACTTAGGTATTTAAATCGTAGTTATTTGAGTTGGATTGTGTTTACATTTCAGAAGTGGGCAGTTGTCTGAAATATGGAAGACAGGCAAATCTGTCATTTTGGGCAGGTGTGAGGAAGGAAATACAAATGTTATATACTTGATCAGATATTTTTGTTATACTATTAAATTATTCTCTTGAAGGATTGTTTTCTCTCTTGTTATTAACCCTAAGGACAGATCTCCTGCCTTTACCAATGTAGGAGCTTTGGGAAATGTTAACTAAACCATTGAAGGAAGAAATTCCATTAGGGTGAATTCTAGGTTCTGCATAGATATAGAACGTTAATGGGTACTCAACAGATGTTAATAAATACCTCTTTCTATTGTTGAGACAAAATGAGGTCGATTTGAGTGTGAATTGTGGTTAGTGAAAGGAACTTGTACCTAAAAAAGAGTGTGTTTTAAGGAGAAGAGGAATCTAGACATTGAGTGAAGGATTTTTTTTGTTTTTTCCATATCATATTATTCTCCATTTGTAAGGGCTGTCATTCCCCCTAAAATTGTGAGCTCCCTTGTGTTCATGTCATGTGCCTTCTTGGCTGTCCTTGTAATACGTTGCTGTGGACACAGTAAGGCTTCAATAGATCTTTGTTGATTGAAAGTAAATGTTTGGAAATCTTGGAGACAGAGTTGAGGAAAGGATGAAAGGAGGGCTGCGAGGAAGAAGGAAGAGAGCAGTCAAGGCAGAAACACAATGAAATATAGAGGCTGTCTGGGAAGCCAGGAAAGACCAAGGTTGGTGAGCAACTAACAATTTATGTTCTCCCAAGGGAAGGGAAAAAAAAAACCTGGACTGAAGAGAAATTTTAATCTGAAGAGCTAATTAAGCAAATTATAAAGCCTCTACCATATCCTTGTCCTTTGAGTTGCAAATTTTGCATTTTAAAAAAAGTGGAAAATTCTCTAATTTGTACCAGGAATCTAGTTATATTTTGGTATGTACAATAATAGAAATTTGAGGGGAAAATATGGTATGCTGTAGTTTATAAATCACTTTGGTGTTTTTGACTCCTGCTAACCCTCTTTGTGATGGTGAAGGGAAAAAACATAAAAGCACCTCTGGTTTCATTGGATGTGCTGACTTATTTAAGAAAAAGTAGAATTAGGTGGCAAAAATACAAATAAGGAAAGCTCAACAACATACTGTGAGCAGGTTAAAATATCAAAAACAATAATACAAAATGTTCCAGGGCAAAGAACTTCTTTAAAAAGTGTGAATAGGATTAAAAAAACAAACAAACATGTAATGGGTACCTCGCATTCGATGAACACAATGGAAAATATCAGAGAATATCACAACACAGGGATCTCTTGATAGTAATTAATAAACATCAACTCCTCCAGGTCAAGTGACCAATATTATTTCACAGTTGACTGTGTTGAGGGTAGAGCAAGTGACCTTTACCCTGAATTTTAATAATTTACTATAGTTTTACATTAAATCAGAATATAATTTCAAAGAAAATTAGTGTTTCTTTGTGGGGAGCACAGAGTAATGCCACTAATTGCAGGCATAAAAGCCTTCCCGAGGTTGTATTTTCCTGTTCTTTCTTGATTTGGAAAATTAAAACTACAGTAATTTTCCACTTTTTGTAAGAAGGAAAATGTGCCAGTAAAATGTATTCAGCTAACTTAAAATGTCAAAGCTCTAGGCCATCTTTTTATGTCCAATAATGACAAACTGTCAATTTCATCACATTATTCAGGAATTTACTAGCAACTTGTTGCAGATATCAGAGTACACAAATCTCTTAAAATATTTGTGGTCTGAAAGAAGAAGCAGCCTGACATTTTGGGGGAATTTTTTTGGTTTTTCATTCTTTCACTTTAATATTAAAGCAACTTTATATTTAAAATATGTGTTAGAGCAAATTATCATTTTTTTTTATTCTCAAGGAGATGAACAATAGAGAACACATTAAATTAACCTTAAAAGAATAGGAATTTAAGTTGCTAGTGCTTTAACAATTTTTTGATACCTGGGGAATTTTTTCAGATAAGTTATTATCAAGTAAAATATTTGAGCTGATTTTAAAAGGCTATTGGACTGAAGATTTTATAAAAACATATATGTTCACAAATATATGTACCTTTCCCTTGAACTTGGAAGGGTTAAGTCAGACCACATTAGTGTTAGGGAAAGTGTTTTCCAGTTGTGTCTGGTACCTTGAGTTTGTTATGTATTCAATATGTAGTATCATCATGAAACAGTTGCACCTGCGTTAGCCCTCATTGTCTCTGGGTAGAAACTGAAAAATTAAAAAAAAAATTAAAAAGCTCAAGAAATGAATATTTCTGCTAATAGCATGTCGGTATTTTTTCCTCACTCCACGGACATTCTTGCTCTCGCACGCAAACTGCACAACCCAGGACACTGGGGTTGGAATCCAGTGTTTATTCAAAAAGCCACCCTTAGGCAGTTCGAGAGGAAATGCTACACGTATGAAAGAAAAAGCAGCCTGGAAACAGGGGTGACCTGGGCACAGCAGCAGGCACTGCATCTGCTAACACTTGTTTTCTGGGAGCCTAGGGCAGAAGTGGAAATAATTCAAAGGGACTCGAAAGGGTGGTATTTTGTTGCCTGTTCTCCTTACATGGAGCAAAGCAAACTGCAGTGACACTTTAGGAGCTGGTATTCCCTACTGCCACGGGGACAGCCAGTTTCTGGGTGGAGGAGTTTGTTTATATCTTAACAAATACAGACTGTTTTGTTGATTAAACAAACCAAAAAAAAAATGCATGCCCCATTCTTTGCTTTCAAACACTTCTCCCAATTAGAAAATGTCTCATAAAAAATGCATCATGTGATAAGCTCTTGCTTTAGTCCCAAACCGAGCTAGAGTCCACTTGGAGGTCTTAGAATTCTAGTCCTTAGGGAGTGCACATTTAGGTAAGAATATAGTTACTCTGTCTTGAAACAGGGAGCTTTGCCACTTGCTTGTTTTGGAAGGAAAATAAATTAAAAAAAGATTGCAGGGGATTTTAGTTATTATATGGCCAGGGCTCCGTTTAGAGTCTGTGGCATTCAAAGCTGGCTTTAATCGCAGCGTGATGCTCAAAGCCTCCCAAAGTCCAAGTGTTTCCTTTCTTTCTTTCTTCTTTCCGTTTTTTTTTTTTTTTTTTTTATAAGCGTTGCTTCACTGAGGCAGAGGGCTGCCTTTGAGTGACGTCAGGAGTTTGAGCAGCAAGCTGCACAGGAGAAGGGAGGCTGGGTGAGTGACAGCCCAGCCTACTTTTTAATAGCTTTGTCATGTGACTGGGGACTGTAGTAAGACAGGTGCCTTCAGTTCACTCTCAGTAAGGGGCTGGTTGCCTGCATGAGTGTGTGCTCAGTGTCACTGTGGATTGGAGTTGAAAAAGCTTGACTGGCGTCATTCAGGAGCTGGATGGCGTGGGACATGTGCAACCAGGACTCTGTATGGAGTGACATCGAGGTGAGCTGGGGCTGGGCTCGGCATTGCAGCCAGGACTGGAGCCTTCCTCACGATGCAATTATTCTTGTCAGGGGGGAAGGGCTTGGGCGAGGAGAGAGGTAGAAAAGTAGCCTGGGCAGGAGCTTTTGGAAAGGAATCTTAATCTTATCTTAACTCCAATAAGTTTGCTATTTTAAGGTGGCTCTGAGATGCCACAAGCAAATCAAAGCTAAGCTGCTGTCATCCGTATCTGTTGCAGTTGGAAACTCTTTCCATGTGCCTTTGGCTCTGTTTCTACTCATATACAATATTTATGCTCTAAGATATTGATATGAATCAGAAGCTGAAGTCTTTCCAGTGGTATTTAGTGGCCTGGTTGGAAAAATGCCATTTCTATTTATAATAACATGAAGATAAAAATATTAAAATGGATGTGCTCAAATAGAGTCAGTTTTGACTCTAGTCTGGATTTTTTTTTTCCCCGTGTCTCTGTGTTTATCAGACAGAGAACTCAAAAATCCTAAATAATCCTGCTGGGCTCTTTTAGATTGCTTTTCTCACAAAACAGTGAAGCTGATTCCTTTAAAACTCCTCCATGTGGTTGAAAGATTTGGCCAGCAAACAGGAAAAAAAAAAAAAAAGTAAGGTGCCAGGTTTTCCATTCGTGTCAGTGGCAGGGAAGCCAATGGTTAAATCTCGCTGTACCACGGAGAGCTGCCTGAAGCCGGAGAGAGAATAGAGTTTATGCAGGACTGTGTGTGGAGCTGCTCGCTGCTTGTGTAAAAATAGACGGCAATACATCAATTCCACAGTCTCTGCTGGCTACAATTCATACCAGGGGAAAAAAAGCAAGCCGTTTCCTCGTAATCTCTGGAGTCTAGAGTGACAAGTGGGGGGACGAGGGCCTGGCATGTTTGCATTCCGCACAATGCAGTGTTCTCGGAAAGTTTGGGCAAGTTGGGAAACAAGTGAAACTTTCTCTGGACTCTGATGAGATGGAATCGAATTGAAGTGCACGGAGGATCTGAGCTGCTAACAATGAACCAGGCAAAGGACTGCAAGTGCTTCCTCTGGGTGGCTGGGGGCACGTAGGGTAAGGGGGGAGGGTCGAGTGTCACACGTGATTTGATTAAATAAGATGTCCATGTGGTGCAGCGATACACATCTAAAGTGAAAATAATTTGGCCCAGGCCGTCTGCGAGTGCATTTTTCCTATCTAGCCAGGCATGCCCTGGATTCTTAACTCTTTGCTGGGTTTGCAAGTGGGGGCTTGGTTTGCCCTCCTTGCCTCGGCAGAGCATATTTGTGGATTGTGACGGTTCTTATGTTGTTGTGATTTCTCGGGAAGGTGGCATAGATATGGCTAATGCATATGTCCTGTAGCTATTATGAGTCAGGGTTATAAGCGGCTTCAAAGTCCCAATTGTCTTCGAGTTGCTGGCATGTCCTGTGGGTGGCTGTCTGGCTGGCACCGTGGGTCTCAGCAGCTGTAGTTCCATTTTTCCATCAAGTATCATTCCCGATGCTGTTAGGAGTTGACTGAGAAACTAGATCACATGGAAATACGGCAGATTTACTGTAATCACTGGAATTCCTGGAGTCATTTTAAATAAGCGTCAGGACCATTTAGGGTAGTGGCCCTTTTATTTTTGTCTTAAGGAGGCGAGGTCTCGGGCTAATTGTCCAGCTGGGGATTGAGTTGTCGGCTGACTGAGACGGGCCCGTCGCTCCTCTGTTGCACGGTAGACAGCAAGCTGCTGGAAGCTTTGCCCTGGCGGCGGCAGCTCTGGGAATCACCTCTGCCAGTCTAAAATATTATGAGCAGCAGGTAGCGTAGGCAGCTTTCATTTTTTGAATCATTAGTGTTTGCTGTCATCCTAAAACGTATTACGCCCTTTTGTACATAATGACAGGACAGTGCGTTGGTTAATAAAGGCCTGTATCACTATAGCTACTCAGAGTCCCCGGTGTTTCACAGTTTAATGAAGGTGATGTGCAATAAGGTTACTAAGATTGATAGAGACGATACATGACAAGCACTCCACTAAGACTATCATTCTTAACTGCCCCCCGCCCTAGCCCCTTCCCTGTCTTGACTAATTTTTTTTTAAAGAAATATGATTCTTTTTTCATTAATATAATTAATGTGGCCAAGTCCACTCTTTCTTCTCTCTCTCTTTAAAATTTACCATCAATGGCTCAAAAACCTCCAAAAGGTTAATGGAGAATTATACTTAATTATAATGATCCATTATCATCAGTGCAGTTAAGCTAATTTATTGTCTGCTCCTTAACTAAGAGAAAAGTCTGTTGGGGTGAAATAACGTACAATAATTAGCCTTTTGTGTTTAGTAACTGCTTTATCCTCTTAAATCTTATTATAAAATGAAGGCTACAGTTGTGAAATAGCTGTTGTAGTTGCACAGAGCCAGGAGATTGTGGGTCTGTAACTGTAAGAAAGCCCACCTGTTACAGAGGTATGGGGGAGCGGTAAATATCAGCATGGCAGATGAGGACAGCTACAGGGCTTGGACTGGGAAGTCTGGCATCATCCAAAGGCCAAATATAAATGAATAACAGGAACACTTGCTACCACTAATGTGTTTTAGATTATCAGGAGAATGCCACATGCAGAAGCCCTGATTTTATTAGCATGTCAACATTGGCAAGAGCACATGCTCATTTTTCAACCATAACTTAAAAGTGAAAATGAGACAGAGGAAAGGGAAGGGGAGACATAGGTGAATGATAGCACAGTAAACTACAAAAAGCTATCTATCAGATCTTTTTGATGGTTTTCAAAAGTTACTCAATACATACTTAGGAAAGGTGAAAAGGTTTTGAACCAGCCATGCCTAGAAAGGGCAGTTAGAGAGAGAGAGAGAGGCAGCAAGCAGTCGCCCAGCAGTTAGTTGCTGGGGCATTCAGCATTCCGAAGCAGGTTTCTCACTTATGCTCTGCACAGCAGGAGCTGAGGCCAGATGTAGAGATCTGATGTTCCCTAACTTTGATGTTTTTGCTGTTGTTTTTGTTGTTTATGTGTTTATTTTTTAAGGACTGTCCCCCAATAAATTCCTAGTGGTTTTTGCAGTGCTGAAAAAGTTATCCCTTTGTCTCCCAACTGGTCACGTTGTGGAAGAGTTAAAATGGTGCGTTTGTGCTTAGAGGATAAGCCGTGTGGGCAAGTTTGAAGACTGGGAAGTGTTACACCCAAAACAAACCATGGACATTGCGCCAGAATAAAACTTCCTTAGCCCAGTCTTTGCTTGCTTATGAACCTAGTCAAGGATACGGATATGTAACTTAGGCCTAACTCAGATAATAAAAAGGGAAAAGCTAATAAAATGGTAAGGAAAGTTTTGATCGGGAGGATGGCCCTCACGCTGCTGCGTATGACCTGGGTAATGTCGCCTTCCAGGGACGATGGGTGCTTGGGAACAATATCTGCATAAAACTTATTTTATTCAAAATCTAAATGTCGAGCAGGATCTTCAGCTTTATGCCCAGCCGCTGCCTGGCCGTGAACAATTCCACCCCGTCTCTCCTGACCCCTGAATGCAGGGCCATGAGGGTGGCGCTTCAGAGTGGGTGCCTGCTGACGTAGACACTTTGGCGTGTGGGTGGATAAAGTCCCATGTCTCTGGCATCACGAGATCCCTGCCGTAGGAAGTTTCTGTGGGGCTCTTCACAGTATGCAGTGAGGAATCAGCAGCCAGATAGCCAGTTTGAGATTAGAAGACCACCTCTTTGGTAATGGGGTCCACCTTCCTCAAAAGCCACAGTGTGGGACAGTTAAAAGACCACCTACCCCACCCAAAGAGGTGAATGACGATGCCAGTCTAGAATAGCCTTGGTGACAAGCAGCCCAGCCACAGTAAAGTATATTATAAACCTATCAATATAGCAAAATCATTTTAAAATGCCAAAGTTCCTTTCAATTCACTTATAGTCTAGGAATATATACAAGATAAAAAGTACTACTGTGATTTTTTTTTTCCAAATGTCAGATGATCCCAGTCCAACACACACACACACACACACACACACACGTACACGATATGCGTGTTAGACACAGTGAAAGATATACAATTATTTAGAAAAAAAAAGTACTACTCTGATTTTTTTTCCCAGGTGTCAGGTGATCCCAGTCTCTCTCTCTCTCTCTCTCTCTCTCTCTTTCTCTCTCTCTCACACACACACAAACATACACACACACCTTGCATGTTAGACATAGTGAAATATATACAATAATTTAGGAAAAAATACAATTTTTATCTTCATCACAAGGCACTTGATTTTGACCTATTTGAGATGTAGAGTCGAGTGAGACTAAAAGATTTAAATCACAGTTCAAGAGAAGCATGGACGAGTTAGAGGACTTTGCATCATTAGTTGCTAAATGAATTATATGGATTATGCTGGTTAAAAAGAGCGTACATGGAGAAAGTTTTCCTGGGAGAGTTCTTATGTTCTATTTTTTCATTTAGCAGTTGTTTATTTTGTATCTGGTATGTGTGATATCAATTCCAATGTAAAATCAAATATGTGTCCCTTCCTCAATGAGATTATACTCTAAGAGTAGGGTGAAATTTTGCATATAGTTAACCAGAAAACAATTTGAAACTCAGTAAATGCTGACTAGCAAAGAGGCACAGACAAATCTATTTGACTTCTAACAGGAAGATTCAAAGGCAGCTTCACAGAAGCATGGATTTAGAGGTAGAATTTTGGATCCAATGGATCAGGCAAAGTATCCTTTGGGAACAAAGTACATTAAAGAATTTAGGATGTTTTTTCTAGTGACTGAAACCCTGGAAACCAGCTTTGGTGGTGTCGTTGAATTAACCAAGCTTAATTCCTATCACATGCTATTGCAGTTTAATAAATTCCTGAAGTTAATGAAAGCTTTTTTTTTTTCCTCCTGCCTCCTGCAGTGTGCTGCTCTGGTTGGTGAAGACCAGCCCCTTTGCCCAGATCTTCCTGAACTTGACCTTTCTGAACTAGACGTGAACGACTTGGATACAGACAGCTTTCTGGGTGGACTCAAGTGGTGCAGTGACCAATCAGAAATAATATCCAATCAGTACAACAATGAGCCTTCAAACATATTTGAGGTAAGGACACCGCTTGGTGAAAATTAATTTCTCATTGAACTTGGCCTGGGCCAGACTAACATGAGTTTTGGACTGAAAGCATAATGGCTTCTTACTTAGCTTTCCTCAAAAGACTTTTTATAATAGGCACTTGGCACTTTATATTTTGTGAAAATCAGTGTTTGGAAAACATGGATTCTTTTTTTTTTTTTGAATTAAGGGGCTAAGAACCCACAGAGTGCATTAAACTGTGTTGAAATACTAAGGGATTGTGAAAGAATTAGTGACAAAGAAGAACAAATGTCTAAACCTGTTTATCCCTAATTCCCACAGAAAATGGTGCCTAATATAAATTAACATAAAACAAGGCATTTCTTATTAACCAAGAGGTTAAATACTTACCTTTATTTGTTTTACAAATTAGGTGAGCAATTTATTATTATGTATTTTTTATCTATACTTTTGATTTCTATATATCTTGGAAACTTCAAACCCAACACTTCTAATATTTACTTATAAATTAGTCAAAATATATTTACCTTTCAGTTGTGAAAATTACCTCCTAGGTTCTATACTTTTATGTTGTATTGTAAGCTTACCCTTTAGCATTACTTTAAGGAAAGAAAGTTCTTTCTCACATAATCAGTACTTAGTTACTCAAAAATAAATGGCTTCTTATAGAGACGAACATTGAAGACTCTGGCAAGTGAACTGAATAAAAGTTGCCAAAGCAACTACTTTTCAGTGTCTCTACCACCAGCACCACCACCATCATCTAACATTTTCTACCTGCTATTTGCCAGACTCCATACAAAGCACTTTAAATGTATTTTTTATCCACCAGCAGAGACATTTCTTATACTTCAGTGTTATTTGGTTGAAATCTTGAGTCATTAAGAAAGCCAATTTTACAATATTTATTGAGTTTTTCCAGCACCCAGCGCATAAAAGACACTGAATAAATGTTTATTGAGTCATTAAGAAAGCCAATTTTACAATATTTACTGAGTGTTTCCAGCAACCAGCACATACAAGTGCTGGTTGAATAATGAGTGAATGATGATATAGTAATGTTAACAGCAATAATAGTGATAACAAAATGGCCAACATTTTAGAACACGTGTGATTTATGTGTGTCATCTAACTCATCCCTTAAAACAGCCTATCACTTGGGTACTGGTATCACCATTCCCATTTCGCGCATGCAGATGCTGAGCCTCAGAGAGGTGAAGTGATTTCCCCAAATCACCCAGTTGATAAATCTAGGCCTGGGAGTTGAACCCCAAATTTATTTGACTTCAGTGCCAATATCATTGATTAAAAATAGAGTAACAGTGAATTTGGGTGACAGCCATTTTTGACAAAGACACATCAAGCTGCTTCTTTGCTCAATATATTTAAAAATAGAACAGAATCTTCCCTTTCAGTGTTGGTTGGCATGAGCAGGGGTAGCTGGTCAGCCGGGGCAGCTCCAAGTCCCGCCGACGGCTGCAGCTTCATAATGTGTGCGGAGCTTTATGTGGGTGGGGGAAGAGGCCCTATGGTAGTGGAGGTGGCAGCGGGGAGAGGGAATGCGGTGGAGGAAATGCTGAAGGGTTGTGGTTATTGACACTTTCCCAGGCTTCTCAGCCGGGTCTTAGAAAGTTCATGTGAGGACTTGGCTGGTTAGAACTGGTAAAATGAACATTCCTCATTCAGTACACTTGTCAGGTTACAGGCCCATTTTAAGTCATGCAGCATTAAATAAACAGTACTTTTGAAAATGCCCATCTCTATAGACCTCTTATCTAAAAATCGGCTGTTCCATATTGGGTGAATGCCATGCGTTTTGGATGATGGTTAGGGAATAAATAAAAGGCAGCTGTGGGGGAGGTGTTGGAGATGGCGAGGTACTCAATGTCTCCCTGGTGGGCTGCTGTCAAAAAAAGACCACTTTCTCCATGACCTTGTGTCCCCATATTTCGTGTTATAGCACCTACACAAGGTACTCCTCACTGACACCTTTGGGTGACTTGGCTGAGCAACTGGTTAGCTATCTAGAGATGCTTAATCTACACAAAGATGCCCTTTTGTGTTTTCCTATATAATTTTCTACCACTGATAGAATTGTTTTCAATGCTTTAAGACATAAGGTTCATTTATTTTAATCTATCATTAGGTTATTTTAAACCAGTGGTTCTCAACTAAGGACAGTTTTGCTCCCAAGGGGACATTTATCAATGTCTAAGGACATTTTTTTTTGGGGGGGGGACTAGAGGCAGGGAATGCTACTGGCATTTACTGGGTAGAGACCAGGGACGTTGCTAAATATCCTACAATGTGCAGAACAGCCCCCACAACACAGAAACATTTGGCCACAAGTGACAACATTGCTCAAGTTGAGAAGCCCTGCATTAAAAAGAAAAAAAAAAAGTTGTTGAAATCCCCTTCATAAAACACTGAAGGTAAACGGGTCATATTGCTGAGAGAAGATATAGTTAAAAGTATAAGGTAAGAAGAATCAGAAGCCATACAAAATAATCAAGATATCCAGGATCTTGAGATTGATAGATCAGGAACCCTCTTAATGACAGAGAGCAAAAGTGACTGTTTAGGTAAATCCCCCTAACAGCTTTCTCTGAAGTCACAGAAGCCATTCCTCTCTGTCTGGGCAAAGGGGAAGGCCATATGTGGCAACACCGTGACAAACAGCTGAGGCTTCCCCAGCATTTGCATACAGCCAGGATGCCTCTACTCTTTGCCCTCTAGTGCTAAACTTAAACATCTTTTTCTCTAACAGGCGGAAAAAAAAAAAAAGCATATGTTGAGCTTAGGTGGAATTCTAAAATTGTGTCTTCCCCTGTGAAGAAGGTCCATAGGCAGCAAAATAACCCTTGAACGGCTGCAGCACTGAGTTGCTTCTACCAAAGCTGTATGTTCCGTGAAGCCATTTCCCAGAGCCTGCGCCTTTAAACCTCCCACAGCGGACTTCAACCTGTGCTCACTTCCTTCCAGTTCCCAGAACCCTGCCTCATCACATTTGTGAAGGCCTTGTACTTGAGCAAGCCAAAACCAGTCACGGTCTCTGCCACCCTGATCTGCCAATGAAAAGCATTATCTACTTCGGAGTCTCAGAGAAAAATAAGGCACCAAGAGTTAAACCCTTTTTCACTGAAGACACCCCTGGAAAAAGGGACACAGGATTTCTGAACTCTAAATCAAAGAAGAAAGAAAGGGGTTTTAAGAGCTGCAGAGAGTATAGCAGAATGTTAAAACGCTAGGAGTACATAGGAATTTTTTCCTTTGGCCTCCTCCAGATTTTTTGAATCTAAGTTGAATTTTTATGTAATTTTAGAAGAAAAGAGAAAGGATGGAATTGGATGTCACAGTTTGGGAAAGAGTGTATTCCGGAGGGGGAGTGAGGTGTGCCAACCTGCAGTTGTACACATCTGTTGTCTAACTGGATATGCAAACAGCGATCTCGGCTTGCACAGTTATGTCTGGATGTGTAAATGCAGGTTACCAGGTATGATTCAGAAGCCGCTTAGCAAAACAGGACACAAGGCCTATCGATGCAGCCTCCAGTGAATCTGATCCATGTGCCAGGAAAACAGGATACTGTCCCTGGACTGGCTAGGAGCAAGATTTATGTTTCAGAATATTGCAACATAACTTCCTTCCCTGTGTTGCCTTTGTGCTTTGTTTGAAGGAGGAGAATAAAAGACTATTTTTACAGCATGGCACTATGTGGAGATAGGCGGCATAGGGTTAAACAACACAGGGCCCCTTCTGGGTCACTACGGGCCACCTTGTCCCCGCTTTATTTTAACATCTGTTTTGATGGGCATCTTTCATTCATTTGTCTGTTACCTAAGAATGCAGCACTTGGGGTTCTTTAGAACATGGTGAATGAGAATGTAGTTATCTCTAGCTCATTACTCATAGAATATTCTGAAGCCCGCCTTTGCCAATGGGAGGAGAATGGCTCACAGCTGTAGCCAGTTCTCACATTGGGTAAATATTCAAACTCTCTGTAAGGTTGGATACTGTGAACTTTTATAGGATAACAAGTGGGGTGCAGTGACCTGTTAGTCGATTGTCTGTGAGGTGTCCTCTTATGTGCCACCAAGAGAATGGAGGGGGAAGGGTATTCAAGAATACCTGACCATTCTGATGGAAATAGAGATATTATATTTCTTTTTTAGACTTTCTGTTCTACTCTATTTTTTTTTTCTAAAATGGGCATATATTCTGTACTTACCAGAAAGTTAACAAAAACAGTCTTGGCTATTGCATGGACTGTGAGCATTTTGCAAGCTGGGAACCTGCTTGCCTCATTCACTGATGTTTTTCTAGACATTTTCTTAGAAAACAGCAGAAAGTTAAGTGCCCAGGAAATATTTGCAGCATAATGACTGAGTTCAGTCATGTATTTATTTATGGTATGGATTGCAGTATGGATTAAATAATGTGAAGATTACCTATAAAGCACAAAAGGTCTGTTTCCTAAAGAAAAATTTTGGGAGTCCAAGTGAAGAAACGCAAAACAATTAACAAACAATGCAAGACTGTGTGTATATGCATATATATACATACATATACACGCATGCGTTCATATCTTTTAGCCAATTGAAAAACAATGTACATGTCTACACATCAGGTTATTTATATGTTATATGTATTAACAACTGGCAAACATTGTAAGGCTGTGTGCATACATATATGCCTGTGTGTGAGTGTGTGTGTGTGTGTGTGTGTATCCTAGCTGAGGAAGGAATTGGCAAGAATAAGGTCACCGGGGTTGATAAGAGAATGAGAGTGAAGTGTTTTCATAGAAGGTGTAAGGAGGCGAGGAACTTGGTTTACTCAAACGAAAATAAACATTAATGGGAACATAGGAGTGGTAGTACATTTGAATTTAGGGTGGGCACAAAATATAAGATGGTCATGAGAACCCAGCTTACATGGTAGGGAGGAATTAGGGTGTCATTAGAGACTTGTTTTTTTTTTTTTTTAAAGCAGCACAACAGTGTCATGGAGAT